ATATATATATATATTGTAATCCGCAGACAAACTGTTTCGTTGTATCACAGCTCATCTCTTGTTAGACGTCCGCTACCGAGGATCGAAACCCGACTGAATTGGCGTCAAACGCAGATTCTACCCTTTAGCCGTTGACGCACGGCAGGGGTCAAGGTGAATTTAAACGTATTTATTTTTAGATAAATTCAGAGTGACGTAGAGAACTCAATTCGTTTTACCGAAGAATCTTGCATTATTAGCATTAATAGTAACTGATTACAAACTCATCATTCCTCCCTCGAGTGTTCAACCGAAAATAATTTTTCAGGACCATATATAGAGTTGTATTTACAGGAACTGTGCATATATATATATATATATATATATATATATATATATATATATATATATATGTGTGTGTGTGTGTGTGTGTGTGTGTGTGTGTGTGTGTATAATTATTTATATATTATATGCGGGTACTTATTAGAAAGCGCTCAATATCAGAGATAGAGCTAACGTAATTGGTTGGATAGATGTGAGTTTGTGACCCTGGATTTCACGCTTTAGCGATCGTCAGACAAACGTGAAACCCAGGGTCACAAACTCATCTATCTATATATATATATATATATATATATATATATATATATATATATATATATATATATATATATTTAAATGAAGTATATATATATATATAGAGAGAGAGAGTTAAATGAAGTGTATATATATATATATATATATATATATATATAGTTAAATGAAGTATATATATATATATATATATATATATATATATATATATATATATATACTCTGGTGTGCATACGTCGGAAAACGAATTAAATAATTACCACATTTAGCCAAGACGTATAAACACAATAGTTCTCAATGTGATTAGACAGACCCAAAATATATATTAATAAATACACATATACGAACGATTTGGTGTGCTACTAAATGTTCGTTAGTTATCCAACTCTTCGGGTACAAGTTATAGCTTATTTTTTATTTAAAAATATAAACAGATGCTCATGGGATGGATGCTGAGTCATAGTTCAAAACTGAAATAGTCTAAAAATACTTCTAAAGCAATACTGGGGTTTAAGTGCAGGAAATGAAGTGTAAGTGTGAGTCAATAATAAAGAAGAAAAAAAGAAAATAGAAGTACCCCATAAAATTTAAAATTTGAAAGATGTTTGTAAAAATTGTTTGACATGTTAAAGGGAGGCAATCAGTATATGAACTAAAATAAGAGTGGGCGTAAAATTAGAATTTGAAATTAAATTTAATCTAAAAGTGTGTTATCCAGGATATTTTAAGAGAAACATATTTTTATGCATATCATATACAGAGGATCATTCTATTTATTGTGTACATTAGAATATTAATATTTTTTAGAATGAATAGTTTTTCATGTAAACATGTATTGCATCGGCCTGTAAATGAATCGATTTTCGCGGCCAATTACCAATTCCGTGCTGTTGCTGTTTTGATAACCCAACAAAAGTTAGAATGCGGTCGCATTTGCGTATTTGCGTATTTTTTGCTGTTAGGGATCAATTCATGTGTGTGTGTGTGTGTGTGTATATATATATATATATATATATATATATATATATATATTTATTCGAAAATTATAACATAAATGTGTTATAAAATATATATAAAAATACCTAATTTGTTTCAAAACTTTTAGTGTCTTATCAAGTGATGCTGTTGAATCACTTCTGGTATCTTATCAAGTGATGATTTTCAACACCATCACTTGATAAAACACAAGAATTGTTGAAACAAAATGGCTATTTTTGTAGTGATTGTATAATATATTTATGTTATAATTTTATAATAAATTGTATTTGTTCTATTCTGTATTGAGCACTACTTAGAATAGCATTTTTTGTTTATTGGTATTTATTCCATATACACCAACCCTATACTTATATATATATATATATATATATATATATATATATATATATATATATATATATATATATATATAAAAAATATATATAATCCTTTGGTTATGTTGATAATCTCTTGGAGATTCTAAAAATGGATATCCAGGTAAAACTCCTAGTAGAAAGCTCCATCTATGAGAATAATAACAAATAATACAGAGCTATAGAATTAAGAAGAATTTCAAAGGAAAAAAGTAAAATTTGAATTTTTCATCTATAAACTATAAACTTCAGCTATATTTCGCATTTGATTTACATTTCAATGCCACACTGCTTTATAACAAAATTCATTTAAAAATAAATTGTTTTGAAAGAAGAAAGACAAGACGGAAAGGAAAAAAAAAATTCTTAACTTCTTGTCTGTCTATATACATTTGTGCATACAGAGAGAGAGAGAGAGAGAGAGAGAGAGAGAGTGAGAGACACGCTATCGGATCTTATCAATATATAAATCTACTCCCTGGTTTCTAATTAATGACACCTTTCCTATCCTAAAAGAATTACTAATTTCCAAAGCCAATATATATATATATATATATATATGTGTGTGTGTGTGTACATATATATATATTTATATATATATATATATATATATATATATATATATATGGTCCGCCGTATTCTCAAATCAGTAATGGTACCCATATTCACACTCTGGCTTGAATCATTAAAGTCTATTCAAGAACCATCATGATATTGATGAATAAGTTTAAAAAAGAGGAAACAGTTGAATGGCAAACGGGATCATGAGGTCACAACAGGAAGGGGAAGCATCATTTCACATTAAAGCCAAAGATATCAATTAGAAAAGATCCAACTCAGTCTATAACATATTTCGCTCGTGAGAGATGACTTTCATGTAAAGAACAGTGAAAAAATTTTGAAAATGAAATTGTACGTGCAACATTTGAAGCACCTTGTTTCTCCAGGAGAGAAAGTTAGAAGGTTAGAGAGGACGAAAATCATCCTGAATTGGTTAGAAAATCACCCTTATATATATATATATATATATATATATATATATATATATATATTAACTTAATTTCAATCATTCATGAGCTTCCGATACTTAGCTATAATATTTGTATATGATCAATTTCATCACGATTCTTCTATTGAGCATAATCATAATAACATTTGCAACCTCTGCCAAAAAGATAAATTAGCAATGATGATATTCCAAATATTTTTAATCAAAGATCCGACATTATGAGCCGTTGCATTCATACAAGACAATTCCTCTTAATTTTATATGAGATTGATAAAGAATATGTACTGTAAAAGTACCACCCCAACCGATATATTTATAATAGCCTTCCTTTTTTCCTCCTTCTTCTTTTTCTTCTTCTTCTTCTTCTTCTTCGCATCTTCCTCATCTCTTTCTATCATACCCATGCGTTTGTTTATGTATTTTCTAAAATAATATAGCGTTCTTTAATATTTTTTTTTTAATATAAAACATTGGGAATTCAATCGATACAAACCGTCTGGAAATATCGAAAGGTTACAACCAAGTTAGCGGAATCGACTGCTCTCCTAATTCTTTAAATTTAAAAGCTCCATAAGTAATTTTTTTTTTACTGCTTCCTGGTCTCATCCAGTTCTGACCATTAAACTTTTCAGTATTTTATATATATATAAATATACATATATATATTTATATATATGTATTTTATATATATATATATATATATATTAAGACATTTTTATGTTTATACATTCTTTTTTATAGACAGAAATATTTAAGTAAATGGTCTCTTTATAACAAACAGTATTAACGACATTTCCCGGTCCGAAAATCCTAGAAATTTCCATAGACAATATGCGTCCTCCGACAGTAATCGAACCTGTATCCTATACGGAACCGTCATATAGCCTGACGTGCTTTACCGATTAAGCCACACAGGAGCGTTTCGGTTAGCAAGGTCGATTTTACTGTTTTTATATATATATATATATATATATATATATATATATATATATATATATATATATAAAAATGGTAGCACTAATAAATCTAAAAGGATAACATTTCTTACTGATGTCTGTTGGTCTTTATTTATATGTATATATCTGATTAATAGAGAAGTGATTTTTTATGATTATAGAGATGCAATTATTGAAATGGTAATGCTAAACAATTTAAACATTATTAAATGATTATTATTATTATTATTATTATTATTATTATTATTCGGTTCTGATTCATTTTATGAATTCCTGTTGCACCAGCCGATTACAGCAGTCATAAAGCTACTGGTACGACTGTAACATCTATGTTCTCAATCTTCCTTAGTACGTCGGTAATGTAGAGATATTCATTTTCCCAGATTTATGTCCTTTAATAGAATACCGAAATCCATTATCTAGATTTTTTTCTTCTTTTTACTCTTCTCCTTAGAATTTCTTCTTCTACTTCTTCTTCTTCTTCTTCTTCTTCTTCTTCTTCTTATTATTATTATTATTATTATTATTATTATTATTATTACTAGTAGTAGTTGTAGTAGTAATACTTTTTTTTAGCCGACATCATAATTCTCAATGCGTAGTCTCTTTTAGCTAAGCTTTGTACCAAATTCATTTCTTCATTCTCTTTTTTTATTTAGGCTCCTTGTTTTTATTTAATTTTAGGTCCAAAATTACCATTATTATCATCCTGCTGATTCATTTGTTTTCATTTTTCGTTATGCTCGTCTCTTGTTTCGCATTGTTTTGTTCAATTCAACAACTATTTTTTATGTACTTTTTTATCAGCATTGTTAAGGGACAAATTGTTACAACTCATGTTTGCATTGGATCATTGTTCAGTAATTTTTTTGTCGGGCCATGCGGAAGATGGTAGAGTACACAAATTCGGGTACGTGACAAAATACAGAAGCACAGACGAAAAAAAGCTCGCTTCTATGCTCATGTGTCCCACTTTTCCACTATCAAAATTTCCGATTTTTTCTTATATATATATTATTCCATTTGATTTCCATCTAAATTCAAATAAAATGATAGATACATACATACATACATACATACATACATACATACATACATACATAAACGTACTGAGATAGATAGATGGATGAGTGGACTGGAAGATAGATAGATAGATAGATAGATAGATAGATAGATAGATAGATAGATAGATAGATAGATAGATGAACTGAGATAGATGGACAGATAGACAATTAGATAGACAAATGAATTGAGATAGATAGATAGATAGATAGATAGATAGATGGACAGATACACAATTAGATAGACAATCGAATTGAGATAGATAGATAGATAGATAGATAGATAGATAGATAGATAGATAGATAGATAGATAGATGAACTGAGATAGATGGACAGATAGACAATTAGATAGATAAACGAATTGAGATAGATAGATAGATAGATAGATAGATAGATAGATAGATAGATAGATAGGAATGTGATAGCTGGCTATCTAGCTATCTAGCTATCTAGAGAGATAGATACATAGGACTGGGATAGCTAGCGAGCTAGATAGATAGATAGATAGATAGATAGATAGATAGATAGATAGATAGATAGATAGATAGAAAGAAAAATGCACGTTGATATGCTTTCCGTTTCATCAGTTGCCATGCTTTCTTAATTTTTCTAGACATACAGTTTATATGAACAAGCTGTCTCTCCCAATTTTGAGCAAGAATTCCCCGGAAATATAACTAATTCTAAGCTATATGTACAGCAGGTTTCTCACTAATAACTTATCCGCATTTAACTCGATAACAAAGCAAGCCCACGCAAAAAATGTCTTTAACCACAAAAAATCCTCGCATTACACACATATATAAGAACATGTAAAAATCGTTTCTTTTATATTTGCCATTTCATGTTTTGAAAAATTAAATGGTGAAATTTGAAAGACTCAGATAAAAAATATTCTAGACCTTTCTAGACTCATTCGACATCGAAATAAGCTCTCTTCTACGTAAAGGAGAAACGTATGGAAAAATCCAGCTATAAATTATCGTTGCTATAATGTTTCAGCAAAGGTTCACTGAGTTCGTAAAAATGATTTAGATAGACTCGACATGACATATCTGAAACATTAACTTGTAATGTTGCAAATACTTTACCACGAAAAGTTACATTAACAGAAAATAGAAATAAATTCCTCGTCATAATAGAACGTTTATTCACCATCTAACTTACTGTGTCACTGTTAAAAATAAATTTAAAATGACATTTTATAACTTCTATTCATATTTGTTTCGTGGAGCAAAAGTATTCTGATTTTATTTGACCAAAGCGGATATTTTCAGATACATCGTTTCACAAACTTACTGTAATGTTGTCATTAGTTTGGAAATGACAGTTTGGGCTAAGGACAATAGTCGATTGAAACGCTGACTTAATATGGCCGCAGCGATCTACCAATCAAAATACAACGTGTCTGCAACGTTACTATTAGGTTTCGCGTTATCAGGGAATACTTTTCGTGTTGTTTGGGAATTATTATTACTGTCATTTATGAGATATGGAATAATGACAAGCGGTTACGTACCTAAAATTTATATATTATAATTGCGCGATGCAAAAAGATAATGAGATGGATAGGTTTTTCCTTCCTTCACTACCGTTAGTCAGCGTGTTTCCTATATAGATAAATCTATTTATACATACCGTGAATACCGCCTTGGGCAAGACGATAAACTACGTCCAACAACAAGGCCCCTGATCAGGAGGTTTTGAGGAGCGTGGAACCACCTCTTAATAGCTTGTGTTCCCAGGTTTACACTGACCCAGGGTGGTAGCAACTGTTACGGCCCCAGCTATGGGCAAATAGTTAACACCCAAAATTGTGTAAGCGTTCTGGGTATGACGATAAACTGCATGCGCGTAGTGCATAAGACGATAAAATACGTCCAACAGTAAGGCCTCTGATAAGGAGGTTTTGCGGAGCGTGCAGCCATCTCTTAATAGCTGATATTCCCAGGTCTACCCTGATCCACGGTGGTTGCAACTGTTAGGGTCGGGGCTATGGGCAAATAGTTGACTTCCTTCTAACCGGTCTCGAAACAATTTGAAAGTGTAAAATAGACTTTAATAGCAGAAATACTGTAAAATAATTAGTATCAGCAATAAATATTTGGAAAATGGAAATATTACCAGTAATAAAATTCTGGTCAGCATTAAATAACCCATTGAAGTTTATATGCTACAAAAAAAAAAAAGACAAAAAAAAAAAAAACAAACAAACAACTCGCGAATGTAATAGTGGTCTGAAATTCACATTGAGAAGCCTTGAACTGTCATTCATCGTACAGGGTTGATACTTAGATTCATACCTTATAGATATATATCTTATCCTCATCGCCAAAATGTTGTAACCTTGTAAAGGTTACTAAATGAGGAATAACCGAAACGGAGATTCAAAATGAAATGGTAATTTTTCTAAAATCAACAAAATACAATACTCGCCAGCGACGTGAAGTAGGTACGCCACTGCTGGTGGTGGACTACGACAGTTTATTACTCCGACTTACAATAATGTCCAACGTATTTAGGAGGATTGGTACATACCCATTAGTATTCATAGGTAAAATAATCGATAGCTCCATTCGTCACAAGTGGGAAAAGTTTAAATCTGCATGGCACTTTACTCGAATTGGCTCATTCGCTTGCTTAAACTCAACGTTGATTCTGATTCCGCAGAACTGGGTTGGGTGTGAAAAAGTATTTGTTGTTAACATTCTTTTTTCATTCGTTTTTTCCATTTACGAGTCCTTTTTTTAAAGCTTATCGTTTTGTGTTCATTTTGTTTAGTTCTTTTTTCGTAACAGATTTAATGTTTAGTATAGAGCTTAGAAAAAATTCGCAGTGTGAGATAGGCAAGAAGTAAGGCATGTAGCAACATCAGCACGGAAAAGAGCGCTCTTTTAAAGGCAAGGAAGGGCAAAAATATTTTAAGTCAAATGATAGCAATTGCTGTATGAGTCGTACGATTTTTGAATCAATCACGGGCAACGCCGAGCCATGCTGCTAGTGTAATATATAGAGAACCTCGGGAGTTT